TTTTATATATTCTACTAGATTGCCTACATAATTGTGATACCAAGTCCTGGCACACACACTAGTAGACTTATGATTTTGGATTTGTTTACATGATTACGATTTATACTCGTTTACTTCCGTTTAATTATGTCACATTTGCAAGTTTCTAAATCTTTTAAACAAATGAGGAAATTTTATCCACTTAATAATTTTTTTAAATGGGAAACTATTAGTTTGACCGGTATTGGCTTGCCTAACAATGGTGTAGGGCGCCATCGCGGCCTAAGATGGAATTGGGTCGTGACATTCTGTGTAGTTAAATTATGACATACTACTTACTTTATTCATTCCCATTGTAATTATTATTATGATATTGTTAAAGTTTTCGCCCTGTTTTTTATTATTTTCAGTAGGGCCCTGACATGACCTCGTCACTACTCTACCAAGGTTAGACTTGGCACTTACTTGGTACCGTTGTGGTGTACTCATACGACGCTTCTGCACATCTTTTTGTACAGATCCAGGTACTTCCTATCAGACCAGGTATCAGTGAGCTAGACTGTACGTGGAGACTTCAAGGTATATCTGTCATCGTCCGCAGACCTCAGAGTCCTCCTCTATCCCTATTATGTTGTTTTACTTATTCTCTTTAGACTATGATATATAGGGATACTTAGAATAAATTCTTAGAAGCTTATGACTTATTCCTATCGAGTTTTGGGAGTTGTAACTATTTGAATCGTGGTTTGATTTATTTTATATGTTGAGATTTGAGTTTCAGTTTTGTATTCCGCATAATTGATAGGCTAACCTAGTCTTTGTGCCATCACGACCTCCTACGGAGGAAAATTGGGGTCGTGACATCTGACCAAGCCCAATCTCATTAACACAATCTTGAAAGTCTTGTGTTTCTATCTGTTGAATTGGTGATCCATTAATTATATCATTAACAGATAATATGGTGTTAAAATCACCAAGAATAATCCAAGGGTCGACCACCATACTATTGATTAATATCAATTGTCTCCAGATATCTTTCCTTTCATCAATGGTGTTGTAACCATATACGAAAATTGCATAGCAGGCAAATTGAGAATCCTTATCTTTTACTTTACAGTGAACTATATGAGGTTTTAAGTACTGGATATCAACTTCCACTTGTTGTGATTTTCAGCAAACCCATATTCTTCCATTTGGGTAGTCTGCATAATCACAGTAAACCTGCCACTCTGCCCCTAACTTCCTTTGAATCTTCCCTGCTCTTCTTGCCTTAAATTTTGTCTCAAGGCATCCCAAAAGAGCCATTTTATTCTTAAGTAGAAAGGATTTGACTTCCTTCTGCTTGAAGGGCTTATTTAGCCCTCTAATATTCCATGATCCAAAGATCATGAGGGCTGCTTGGTTGGACTAGTGCCCTTTACCACTTTATTAGTGGTAACCTCTAGTTGTATTCTCAAAGCACTGAATTGATTCCTTCTAAGCACGAGTTCCAGTTCATCAATTCCCTGGCTTTTATCAGTAGTTATTGGCATTGCTTTCTTCCCTCTGACAATTAGCTTCCTCTGTTGTTGCCCTTCCCTTTTAGCTTCTTGATCATCTTTAGAATCTCCTTGTTAGCACCTTATTCAGTTACTTGAGCATTAGTCTGATTATCCCATATCTGATTAGGCACATCCTTAGCTTTCCATTCCAACTTCTTTTGTTTCTTTTTATTACTTAGTTGATGTTGTTCAGGTACTGTTGGTCCCTCCTTGCATTTCCCTGTGATATGTCCCACTTTCAAACAATCTTGGCAATACATGGGCTTCCATTCATACTCAATAGATTGTAGCAGCACTTTCCATTAGTTAATTCAAGGGAGATTGAATCAGGCTGCTAGGATATATCCATCCCAACCAATATCCTAGCATAAGCAATTCTTTGCTCTTGAGCAGTTAACCTATCGGTACACACTGATTTCCCAAGATAGCTTGCTATTCTACCCAAATTTCCAAGGGCCCAGAATTGAATTGGCAAGTTTGGGAACATTACCCATATAGGAACAATTTGAGTAGGTTCGTTGTTCATTTGGAACTCTGGATCCCACTGTTTAAGAATAAAAGGCCTATAGTTGAACGTGTATGGTCCTTGTTGGAGAATCGATGCTTTATCTTCCTCACTCTCAAATTTGAAAATGAAGTGCCCATCATTATGAAGGAATACCTGAGGTGTATTGGCGAAGCTCCAGGCTCCATAGACAAATTTCAGCATTTCCTTAAAAGTAGGGTTATTGCCAATAACATAATCAATTAATGGTAGACTCCACTTCTGATTCTGGTCAGCTATCTCCTGGGGATTTAGCTTAACTACTTTCACTCCATCTTTCATTACAGGTGGGAAGTAATCAAGCTTCAATCTCGTTTGTTGCTCTCTATTTCCTTTAACTACTTCAGCCATTGTAGGCTTGACTCCGCTAGATGTGGCAGAGAAAGTCAATTTTCTCGCCGCATTTGAAGCCCCTACATCAGGCTCCGGAGGAGTTAGTGCAATGTCCGGCTGGGGGCCCGTTTGTATCACTGTAGGAGCACTCACCATTCCTGGAAGCCAATGGTCCAATTGAATCGGTTCTAAGGTCTGGGGAACACCTGACTCTAGTGTTATCTGCCTAGAGGTCAGTACCGGAGCTTTGGGCGAGGTCGTCGTCGGACCCGGTTGTCTTTTCTTTCTCGTCATCTCGGATTGGGCGCACGTTAGTAAACCCTAACGTAACATGCGCCGAGAGAAAACCTTTGATTGATTGAAGACATTCAATTAATTAATAATTATTATTATTATTATTATTATTATTATTATTATTATTATTATTATTATTATTATTATTATTATTATTATTATTATTATTATTATTATTATTATCTTAACCAACATAAGGTATCGTTATGTAATATTATTCTCAAAAGGTATAAAAATCTATTAATATTTCATGTAATGTGCATTAAGATAAATCATTATAATAGTGTTTGAAATATCTATTTTTATCTACATATATATTTTTTTATTTTTTGAATTATAAAATAAATTATAATTAACTAATTAAAAGGTATTCATTGATAATATTTAGTGATTGTACTTGAATTCAAATTTCATTGAAAATATTTAGTGATGGTACTTGAATTCAACTGATTGGATATTATCTCTCTTAATTCACGAATAATTTTGCTGAAATATGATCTCTTTTATTATTTGGTTGGCTTTATCATGAGAATCTTACTATTAGTACTGATATTTATCACAATTCATAGTTATATTAATAATTAAAGATAATCATGAGTCAGAATACACATAAAGTATAAAAAACAAAAAAATTAAAACCAAGGAATTCCATTTTAAAATTTCAAAACTAATTATTTCAAAACTAAATTCAAAATAAAATACATAACTGGTGGCGTTTGGATCTTGTGATTTAAAATTGTACTCTTTGTCCCTCAAGTGATTTCAACGCCCATCAAAGAATACAATTCATATTATCTCAATATGAAAAGTATGTTAGTTTAAATGAGGAAATAATTTAAATAAGGTAAAACTTTTATTACTTTTAAAGTCTTAAATATTAAGAGTCTTATATATTTTAAATAAGGAAAGATTTCTAGTAAAATTAAATGACTATTCCTAGATATTAGGAAAATAATTTAAATGATCATTCCTAGATATTAGGGAATTGATTAAAATGACTATTTTGCCAATGTGAACTCTACTTTAAAAGGTAAAAAAGGCGAACGACATTTCGCTAAGAGTTTTTGTGCTTTAAATATAGTATAGATAAATATTTAGGTAAACATACTCATAATTATAATAAAATAAATTATATGTCTACCTAATGTGAGAGGGTTCATATTTTTGGAGTTAAAGATTAGTTATTTTACCCAATTTAAATAAGGATTGTATTTATATATATTTTAAAATTTATTTGAGTTTAAATTCCTAATATTTAGGAATTTATACGTAATTCAAATAAGGAAAGACTTAATAGTTAAACTTTTATTTATTTTAAAATCTTAAATATTAGATAAATAGTTAAATGATAATATTGTCTAGTGTAAAATTACTTTTAAAAGGATAAAAAAGACAAACAACATTTCACTAAGGAGTTTCGTACTTTTAATATAGTATATATATATATAGATATAGATAGATAGATTATTTAGCCAGCGTTTATCATTATTTCTTACTCTAATTTATTAAAGAATTAATGTTAAATTACTCCAAAAATTAGTCAACTTTATCATCAAAGTCAAATGTGGCATGTTTGAAAGATCTTAGATCACCTTGGGCACTTTTGTGTATTTAACTCAATTTTGATGTGTTTGAAATATAGATCGCAATGGCTCAGATTCATATATAGTTCCGATCTTCGCGTCCCATTATTTGTTTAATATTTGAATGGTTCTTTAGCAAAACAGACGTCAATAAACTTTAATTTCTAATCAACTAGTATTTGTGTGCACCCAATGTGTACATACATAATGAGTCATGACAATTAGATAGAAGGGGCGAAACAGGGAAGTTATTGTTTGCTAGTAACACCAATTACCTTGTAACTAGATATATTAGTAGATTTTCACTATCACTTATATTATGTATAAAATTGACGTTTTAAATTTCGGTGTTTAGTCAGCGTCATATAAATTGAACAAAAAATTAATATTTTGATAAAAATTTATTCGCATTAAATATTTTCGCTAAATTATGTTACTTATTATAATTAAGTAATTTAGTGAAGTAAGAAATACATATAAATTAACTGTTATTAAGTTAACATAATTTGATATAAACACCTTAACAACTGCCTATTATCATTTTCAAATATCACTTGACAAGAATGTCAAATTAACCACACAAAATAAAATTAAAAAAAATTGAATTCGAATAGAGAATAGGGGCAAAAGAGACATTCCAATGCACCGGCGAGTTGTGTCGCCGAGTCAGAGTCGTTGACCGGAAGAAAATTAAAGGAGGGCTTTTTAGCGTCGATAAAGAATTGGATTCCTATTTTTTCTTCCCGTCCAAAGGATTTTTCACTTCGACGAAAGAGAAAGGAATATTTTTTAACTTTCTCTCTCTGATTTTTCCCATTTCTTATCCCTGCATATTGTAATTCACATCTCATATCCCATTTTCAAGCTTCAGCTGCCACACCACAGGTAATTATTGCTGCTGATCTGACAATTTACATGGTCTTATAGGGATCAATTTTTTTTTTGCTATAAAGATCATAAAATTCGATTCTTTCTTCATATCCGCTATGTGGGTTTCTATTTGTTCTACTGCTGTTAGCGTGTTCAATTTTGGTATTCTATATATTTTATTTCGGTTTGAAAATTTTAGCTAAGCTTGGTAGTGAGTGGAACTTCTTTTACTCCAGTTGAATTTGGTACCTTTTGGATTTTGTCTTTTTTATTTCTTTGTGGGAAAATTTAGCTAAGTTCTGTATGTGATGAATGTAGCTTTCTTTATTCCTTGAGTTCAATTGGTACTCTTTAGTTTCTTTTGTTTGTTTAAAAAACTCAAATGGTGTGTGATTTATGTCTCCACTAGAAATTTGCATAGGGTGAAGATTAGCCTACAGGTCATAACATTAGTTTCTGAATACCTTTTTTTGTGAATTAGAATTGGGACTCACATTTGCTAGATAATTGTGCAGGATTTCGAAAGCCTTGTTGTTGGTTTACCTCATTGTGTTCCCTTTTTCTTTTCCCACTTGAAATTGAGAGTTAGAAGCTAGAACCTGGTTCAACTCGAACTATTCTGAAGTTTGCTGTCAAATATTGAGTGAAATTTCCCAATTCTTACTGCCAGTTAAAGTTAACCTCCAACTTGGGATAATCATGAAGATGAAACTTGATAAGATCTTTCATCATTTGAGTCTCCAAGTTTTTAGTGTTGCTTGTAGATAGTATTTTTCTATTGGTACTAATAATTCATTTGTATTAGCATACAAGAGAGTCGTATATATAAGCTCTGAGCTTTTAGATACTAGAGATTTGGATAAAATCTCTTCTACTCAAGGAAAAAGCAAATGTGCTTCTTTGTGAACTTGCTCACCCTTGCGTCCTTTTTATTTTCTGTAGTACATATTTGGCGTGCCGATAGTTGCTGGAGCTACTATTACCAAAGGGCGTATTACTGGACACTTTTAGATTACTTTCTTGTGAGGTCTAGTTTTGCTACTACCTCACGTGTATAAAGGAATTGAGGAAGAGCAAGAAATCACCTCCAGCTTGCAGAGACTAAATGGCCATTCTGGTTCATGATGTATAGATGGAGGGAAGACTTCTCAAACGAGCTTTACAGATACACCAAATTTTTGTTGGGGATTGATGCTAGATTGTCCAATGCAGAACCTCAAACTCTCCCACATTCCGCTCATTCAATATAGGCCTATACGAACCTCTGATTTGGAAGTACTTGAGAAAATCCACGGGGATCTGTTCCCGATCAGGTATGATTATTTATTTCATGTTTGGGTCATTCAAGTAAGATGCTGTCAGATAGTGTCTTGAACTTTTAAACTGGAATGTGTTCCATAACCAAAAGTTTTTGATCTTTAAGGTACACATTTCATTTTGTTAATAACTCTTTTTTTTTTTCGGGGTACTTAGATATGAATCTGAGTTCTTCCAAAATGTTGTTAATGGCCGGGGCATTGTTTCATGGGGAGCTGTTGATCGCAATCGTCCCAATGGGCAAAATGACGAACTTATTGGATTTGTGACTGCCAGGACTGTTCTAGCAAAAGACAGTGACGTGAGCCTTTCTGCTCTTTTACTCGTAGAATTTAGCCTTATAAAATTTTATTGATTTTGAATCACATTTATCTGTAGATAGAAGATTTTCTGAGATATGACTCATCGAGATCACAGCAAACACTGATTTACATATTGACACTGGGAGTTGCAGACTCTTATAGAAATCTCGGCATAGGTGAGGCTTTGTTTTTCCGTTTACACTCTTATATCTATTTCTTTCATTTTATGACTTACCAAATGGTCTGTACTTTTTGATTTTCAGCTAGTTCTCTAATTCACGAGGTCATAAAATATGCCTCGACCATCCCGACTTGTCGAGCAGTTTACCTACATGTGATCTCATATAATAACCCTGCCATATACTTGTACAAAAAGATGTACTTTCAATGTGTGAGGAGGCTGCCTGCGTTTTATTTTATTAACGGTCAGCATTATGATGCGTACTTGTTCATCTACTATGTGAATGGTGGTCGCTCTCCTTGCTCACCTCTGTAAGTGCAGCCATCCCTTTTCCCTGAACTCGCTTGATCAGAGGTTTCTCTTTCTTTATTGACCTATATGATTGATTAATTTGCCATATGCGATAATTATCCTGGCAGAGAGATCATTTATCATGATTTTTCCTCAAGGTTCAAAAGAGTGTAGGTGGTGAAACTATATCATCTTTTTGGGAGTAAAAGATACTCCATAAAGTATCCTTGAGGATGACTTGGTATTCGCAGTTTTCAGTATAATATCTTGGCTATAGGAGATGAAGTCAGATAGAGGATTTGGTAGAAAGGACATTGAGCTAATCTGCTATTGCAAACTCATGGACCACTATATTTTCCAATTTGTCCAATTTTACATTGAGAGTTCAATATGCTTTGTGGCTGCTTTTGTGAATTTAAACTTGGAAAAATGGGGGAAACCCTGGTAGAACTAACTCTATTTATCTTTACCTTTCCTCTACTTTGGCACTTTGCCTTGTTTGACTCAGTTTCAGTTAGGAAGAACACACATACACTTATTCGAGATGGGCAATCGGCTTCTTGCATGTTTTAGTGGCAACTCCCTAAATTAAAAGAGCATTAAACATGTGAAATACAAATGAGTATAAGTTTTGGGGATTGGAGGGATGAACATGGCTTCCTGCCCTCTTCTCAAAGTAATAGCCTGAGATTGGTAGCACAAAGTAGCCCAGGTTTCTAGTATACTTTAACTGCAAAGCAGAAAGAGTAAAATTCATCCGACAATCGAGAGAGCTTGGTGGTCTTAACAATAGTTCCGGCGGGGAGATTCTCTTAAAAATAAAGGAGACGAATAGATCTAGTTCATGTTCATGTAGAGTAGATTCAATATCACATAATCTGTTCAAAATGTATTTCCTTTAGGAGGCTCCTATTCAAATAGCTAATAGCCTTGGAGTAAAAAAGCAAAATATTAAATTGCCAAGTTTTTCAAGGGGGAAAAGGGGAATAAAGCTCGCAATGCTGAAGTGCTGCATAACAAGATCCAGCAACTTGATGGAGACAAATAGTGCTAGAGGAAAGAGGCTTCTGTTTCCCACTTAGAAGGTTAAAGCATCAGTAGAAATGCACTACAATTAAGCATTGAGGTAAAATAGAGCAAAGGATATAGCGTTAAAAGATTATCTACATCTATTATTTCTTCGATTCTTGTAGCTTCATGCATCTTTGAGCTAGGGATGATTTTTATTGGTCTTTGTGACATGATAGTGGTAGTCATATCTGCAGTGTTTCACCTAATACTTCATGGCGGTTAAATTATTGGGTGGGATAAAAGCAGGTGACAAACACTAATTTACATTTGCACAATCTGACATTGAATTGAAACAAATGATAGTTTGAATGTCCAGTCTAGGATTTGCTTTTCAAACACAACAGCAACAACAACAATTGCTACATCTCAATCCCAAGCTACTATTCTAACAGATGTTACTTTAATATTTGGCAATGGCCCCTCTTGAATTTCAGTGAGCTCGTTAAGCTTTTAGTTACTTGTGCAAAGAGTGGATTCAAGACGGTGGCTGCCAAGCTATGGACGAAAGAAGAGAGAAAGCCCTCCAAATGGCCAAAATCCAAGGAGTCTGGTTCCCTTCTCCCAACAAAACATAACAGGAGGATGTCAACTGAGGATGCTGTGTCTCAATTTGTTTAATCTCTAGCTCCTGCAGTTTTGATGATACTGGAAATGGAACCAAAAGTCAGAAAGAAATGTCACAGTCCTCTATTTGTTTTCTTATTTAACTGTGTTTTACCTGTACCTATAGTAAACCTTTGTCATATTTCATCTTCTGTGCTTGTGATTTACTAGTTGGTATGTATATTATTGTGAAAGGTCACCCAAGAAATTCAATAGTATGTGTTGAGATTCTGTTTTATTCCTCTTAAGGGGTTGTTTGGTATGATGGATAAAGAAAATAATCCTTGGATGAAAATTTAGTACCGTCTTATGCCTTGTTTGGTTACTAATCCTAGGGTAAGTTATCCCAGGATTAAAAACAGGCTGGGGTAACTTATACCTGCCAAAGGGTGGAACAGTAATCTCAGGATAAGTTATCCTAGGATAAAGCAGTAAATGTGTAATTAATCCCAGCATCACTTGTCTTCAAACCAAACGACTCCTTAGTTTCTTCGATAACTTTTCTTGTTGCTGTGATTCAAGAAATGCTCAAAAATAATAAACTGTGCCTCTGACAAGCATCAGATGTCACAATGCTTATCATTGACATAACAAAGCCTATCTACAGAGACAGAATTTAGCCGGTGAATTTGGAGTGAGTTCAATCTATTATATGTACACATATATAAATGTATGTATGAACTCATTCATGCAGCGTGGCCTTTCTCAATAAAAAGCTACGCCTTATATGAAATGTAAACTGCTATATTTTTCTTCTTTGGCATATAAACTATAGTAATAAATATGGATTCTAATGGTGATAATTGATAAAACATGAATTTGTTCGTTTTTCGTTGTACTTACACGGGGGAACTGTGAAAGCAACACTTGAGAAAAATTGGTAGCAAAGAATGATCATTGCATGTTGAAAACTCATGAAAGTTAGTAAGTTTGTAACATATATATGTATTATAATAAATAGTATATAGTTACGTAAAAAAGGATTAGTAGGTGCAAGGGAGATCAACTGTGCAATTCGTCACTCGAAGAGCAGTTGAGCGTTCTTCGCTAGACGCGCGGATTCTCCCTTAAGTTAATTACTACTGGTCGTATCGCGCGGTCAATATTAAAATATATTAATTAAATTATATTGTGATCGGACTCGTTTGAACATATTAGATCGTATTGCTTTATTAAATTTCAATTGTCACCTTATTTGTCAATATGATATATCCAATAATAAAATCAGTATTAAATTAAAGCGACTTTTATAACTATTAAATAACTTTTTTGTTCTATATTTTTCTTTATTCTATTATCCAATGTTTAGTATTTTTACATTGTTAATAGAAATTTTTATTAGCATATTACTTTGTTTAATATTTTTATCTGCTCGCTTTCTTTTTGTAATATAAGAGAAGATATATGTATTTTATTAATCTTGAAATATTTTTTATTTTTAATTTTATTTTGTTGTTGTCAATAATATTATCTGAATTTTAATGAATAAAATATCTATTAAATTAAAGGGACTTATATAGTCAACGAATAACTTTTTTGTTATGTATTTTTTTATTATATTATCCAATATTTAATATAATTGAATTGTTAATAGAAATTTTTATTAGCATATTACTTTGTTTAATATTTTGTCTACCACTTTTTTTTTGTAATATAATAGACGATATATATTTAATTACTCTTGAAATATTTTTTTATTTTAAATTTTATCTTATTGTTCTCAATAATATTATCTGAATTTTAATGAACAAAATCTCTATTAAATTAAAGAGAGTTTTATAGTCAGTGAATAACTTTTTTGTTCTTTAATTTCTTTATTATATTATCAAATATTTAGTATTATTGCATTGTTAATAGAAACTTTTATTAGCATATTACTTTGTTTAATATTTTTATCTACTATTTTTATTTTATAATATAATAGAAGATATATATTTTATTACTCTTGAAATATTTTCTTATTTTAAATTTTATCCTATTGTTCTCAATAGTATTATATAAAATTTAATGAATAAAATCTCTGTTAAATTAATGAGACTTATATAGGCATTAAATAACTTTTTTGTTTTGTATTTTTCTTTATTACTCTATCCAATATTTAGTATTATTGGATTATTAATAGAAACTTTTATAAGCATATTACTTTATTTAAATTTTTGCATGCTACTTTCTTTTTATAATATAATAGAAGATACATATTTTTTATTTTTTATTTTATTCTATTATTCTCAATAATATTTTCTGAATAAATAAATTTTTTATTTTTTTTAAAAAAAAGAAAAATTATTTAAAAAACAAAGAAATTTTAAATTGGAAGTTTTTTATTTTTTGTAATTTTAATTTTTTTATTTTAAAATAATTTAAAAACACTAACTTGAAACTACTCTCCAACTTGAATGTGCATTTTTTTAAAAGAAAATCATTTTTTATTATAAAATATTTTATTTTATTATTTTATAGATATTTAAATTCAAAAATAACAACCAATAACTAATTATTAACTACTTATGCCATGTTACTTTTTTTTAGGCTGCCACTTGGATTAAGGAGAGGGCTTTTTCCTCTCCTTTTAATAATATATAGATATAGATTGTGACCGTGTTTGTTTGAACAAATTAGATCGTATTGCTTTAATAAATTCAATTGTCATCTTATTTGTAAATGTGATATACCCAATAATAAAATCACTATTAAATTAAAGTGACTTTTATAGTTATTAAATAACTTTTTTGTTCTATATTTTTCTTTATGCTATTATCCATTGTTTAGTATTTTTACATTGTTAATAAAAAAATTTATTAGCATATTACTTTGTTTAATATTTTTATCTGCTCACTTTCTTTTTGTAATATAAGAGAAGATATATATATTTTATTAATCTTGAAATATTTTTTATTTTTAATTTTATTCTATTTTTGTCAATAATATTATCTGAATTTTAATGAATAAAATCTCTATTAAATTAAAGGGACTTATATAGTAATCGAATAACTTTTTTGTTATGTATTTTTTTTATTATATTATCCAATATTTAATATAATTGAATTGTTAATAAAAAAAATATTAGCATATTACTTTATTTAATATTTTGTCTACCACTTTCTTTTTTGTAATGTAATAGAAGATATAATCGCACCTTAGTCGTGCTTGAGTTTTGTAGCTTATGGCGCTACCCGTCTCCTCAGGATTTGTATTATGCACTTAACATGCTTGTGGTTGATATTCGGGCATTTCGTGAGTATGAGCGTTACGGCTCGAGGTATGTTTTCCTTAGATTATTATGTGTGGACCGGGTGGCACGCCGCCACGGGTACGTTGTTTGGATCGGGTGGCACGCCGCCGCGGGTATCATGGTTGGATCGGGTTGCACGCCGCAACGGTATTATGTGTGGATCGGGTTGCACGCCGCAACGGTATTATGTGTGGATCGGGTTGCACGCCGCAACAGTATAATATTGAGTACAGTTTCAAATAGCTATTATTGTGTGTTTTGCTTCTCATTTCCTGAGGAAGGTTCATAACATCCTTTCGGTTGTTT